CTCATAACACACTTTGTGCCACCATACATCACAATAGGTCGAACCCTGTTGTGCTAGCTAACCTAAAAAAAAAAACACAGTAGAAGCATTTAATCTCCAAAGTCTTAAAATTTTCCCCAAAAAATTTTTCACAAAACACTGTTTAATACTGACAATCAAACTAAGCATATCATTTCAGATTAAGCAATTTCTGGAGGCTGAAGCAGCAGAGAGTTGCCTTCTCAAAGGACACAAATCTGTTGCTTGTTACTTGAGGAAAAATTGAGGGGTTGCTTTTTGTATGTAATTTATGAGTTTAACATATAGCTGCATTAATTACATAGCTGTTTTCTGTGGGCATCCATCATCTAGGATATCTTCAAAGCTCTGGCTCCAGCTTCATTTCACTTATATCTTCATCCCTGCCAGTAATCACACAGGCCCCAGATGGGTCATTGAAAGCTGATTGAGCCCCAGGGAATCCCTTCTCAGCCTCACAGAGAGGAAACTACACCATTGAATGGATGGTTTTAAATCACAGTGAACACCATATGCACAAACAGCTTGCAAAACTGGGATCAGCATGCTTATTGCAATACCCTCCCAAATATGGGACAATATCCATTTGAAGTCATTTGTAGCATTTTCCTAATTATTTGGCTTCTCATGATGAGCTGTAAGATCAAGCCTGTTCGGGACAGATGCCTACTAGCAGAGCAGTAAGGATGAACAGTTAGAAGAAAAATGTGCCTGAATTATTTCAGAAGCAAAAATATGCAAAATTACCCCCTTTTTTTTTTTTTTTTTTCAAATTTTAGAGCATCTTACTTTTATTGAAAATAACTTCATTCCAAGCCACTTGAATGCCACAATCTACACAGCTGCTTACACCATCAGATAGATGAGCAAAGCATATTAAAATCTAACAGAAATAATTGCTCCCTGCTGTTTAGTGATAATTCCCTGAGGTGCCTGTAAATATATCTCTTGAAAGGTGACTAAAGCAGATGGTGTTTTTGTTTTATGCTCAGGAACATCGCTGTATTAGTTTCTCCGTGTTAACTTCAGCTGCACTTTTATTCCTTGACTCAAAAATATGAAGTCAAAGGCAGGGCAACCTTAATCCTTTCTCCTTGGTGCTACACTGGGGCATGTGGATAACTCATGTCCCAGAGTACTATAAAACTCAAAGAAAACACAAAGGCTCTGGGGAAAAGCAGTTTACAAGCTGCAAGTTCACTGGTGCTGAACAGCCCAGCACAGCCTTGTGTCATAGACCAGTACCACAAAGAAAACTGGTTTGAGTCCAACGCCACTTTAGCAGGACCTACTAATTTAGAAGCAGCATTAGATGAATGTGGTTCAGGTTGGTGGCAGTTCAGCTATTTTCCGCAGTGTGCTGATGTAGCTAAGGCCTTCAACTCCTATTCCGAAAGCAGCACAAAGGCTCGGGTCAGTCATGAGGACTGGGTGCTTACCTCTAAGCAGGCCATCCTCCAACATTTCCCTGCACCAACTGCTACATTTGCAAATGGCACCAATCTGCTACCATTTCTCTAAAGTGTCCAGTTGCTCCCACTTATCATCCAGTTGCAGAGATTTAATCCTACAGACCAAGCACCCACCTCAAAGTCTGTAGAAATCAGAACAGGAATTCTTACACACAGCCATTTCTAAACAGTGCCAATCCCAAAAGCATCAAATAAGTCACCAGGCAGTCTTCACACGAGATTTGCATATAACAAAGGTGTAAGTTTCAGTTTGTCTTTTTCTGACCTTTTAAGCCCCATACTACTTTCCTTCCCATGCACTGGGCTTTGGCCACTCCCTCAAGATTTCTCAGCCTAGTCCTTTTCCAGCCCTGAATTCTGCCCCTGGAACAAACACTAGCTTATTTGCTTCAGGATCATAACTTCTTTCCCCTAGATCAAAATTCAGAAGGGACAGGACACGGAGCAGATTAACAGTATCATCCTATTGCTTCTGAAACATCCCCATATTGCTCCTCTTCCTCATGAAAACGGCACCAGCTTTCAATAGCTGAAGATAGGGAGATGACAGGAAGCACCCCGTTTGGCTACACTTCACTAGAGCATGAGTAAATATGAGAGACAGTCAAAGTGATCACTCTCATCTCAATCAAGAAAGGAAGGCAATTCACAAGAAAGTAAGAATTTTCACACCCTGGCAGGTTTCCTTCCAGGTGCCAAACACACAACACTCACTTGCAAATCAGAGGAAGAGGAGGACAGAAAATTGCTGTTTCTCTCATATTCACTACAGTTGCAATTAAAGCACTTGAAAGAAATATTGTAACTTGTATTTGCAAACACAATCTCAGTATGTTCTTAGTTGTTCCAAATACAGATCTTATTTCAAGGAACATTTCACTACACCTTATCTTTGCAGTCTGTCAACATAGCCAAAATATGGCAGCAATAGGCAACCTGAACAATGGAAAAGCAGAGTTAGTCCAGAATTAAATCACACAGAAACAGCCCTTTCCCAGCACAGGCTCAGTGTAAGATCCAGCATGGTTTGCCTCAGGAGCTGACTTTTCCTTAACTTTTTAATAATGGTGCTCAAGTAAGCATTAAAGAGCTCAGGACAAATCACCCCTTTCAGAAATTCCAAGGCTGGGTCACAGGAGTTTGTTGCAATGCAGAACATAGACTTTATTCCCGAAGAGAAAAAAATTAATAAAAAACAACTATACATCAGGAGATATATTTAAGAAATTGAAACTTACCTTAATCCTAACCACTAGGAAGTTCAATTACAAAATCCTGCTCAATATGATTCCATAAGAACCAGAGAGCCCATTCTAGACAAAAAAACTTGACAGTTTTAATGCTTCTTAACCTATTTGTTCACTTGCATAACAGTGATTATGAGCTTCTATGTAAAACTACACCAGCTGTGCATGAAATACCCTCTTCTGGGTAAAGGACAGCACATAGACACCACTTAGGAAGTAAATTGTTTCAGGAGAATAGCATTTAATACAGTGGATATTCACTTCTCACCAGAGCTTCACAGTCTGTCAGGTACCTTTTGAGTTGTCTCATGTTCAGACAGCAAAAAACAACAACCCACACGCCATGACCATTCAACGGATGTTTGGAGAAACAGACATAAAAACAGCTTACTTTTTGATAAAACACTGCGTAACAGCTGATGTCTGGTACTTACTTTTGACTACAGGGTAATGTGAATTAGTTTAAACTTTGAGTGCTTGATGGGGAAACTGGGACTCAAATGGGAGATAAAACTCAGCACCTCAGTCAGGTTGCAAAATGCTTGCTTGAACTACTTTACATTCACATCTATGGGACAAAAGCCAATTTGCTCTTGAGAAGATACCTGTATTTTTATTTTCTCCCTTGACAACTGATGTACAAAGAACAAGTCATGAAAAGAACGAGAAGGAAAGTATAATGAAAGATGTTAGGGATTTTTTCCACTGATTTATTGAGTCAAGATAGAAAGCACTGATTTTAAAAGCAGTTTAGAGTGGAGAGTCATTAGAATTCAAGCGCTTTCACTAAGTAAAAAAAGTGCATTATGCTTTTATCTTAGATTTAAAATAATGTTCTATTTTATCTTAGATTTAAAATAATATATAAATTTCATTATTAAAATGCAAGATTACCCAATTGCTGTCAAATTACTGAGGACATGACTTAATTTTTTTATCGAAACACTTCATAGGATATTTCTACTCCAACTCTATAGGAAACTAGTTTTATGATTCAGTATATAATTTTGCATCATAAAGAAACAGCACAAGCAAGATCAAATATTAGGAAGCGTGTCAGTGAAAACAAGTTTATTCATCTGTATTTTAGGCAAATATGTAAATAGTCAGCAAAGCCTTTTTGCCATGACTGTAAACTTTTTATTTAAAAACTGTGTTAAAAACCAATACAGGAATTTCTGTTAATGTTCTAAAAAAGTTTGTTCACATCCTGAAAGAAAATACATTAGCAACATCTCCCAGCAGAATTCATCGTTAAAAAAGTAAAACTCTAGGCGCAGAGCTTTTCTACAGTATAGTATCCTCTACATTTTAATTTAATCACAGGACTGAATATCATTCTTTTCTGTTGTCTCTGGAATATGATCGAGAGTTTATCTTAAATAGATGATATTCAATGATGTGTTACACATTGCCACGGGAACTAACATTATTAGAAGAGTGCACAACTGAATTTCACTAACAAAGCAAGACCTTTCTATATGCTGCATCATAACCCTTCCTAACCAATACAGTTAATTTAGCTATATGCCTTTAAAATCATGTACGTTTTCCAAGGAAAAATACTAAAAAATCCATGGTCCAAATTCTGCTCCCACTTATATTCACAGGATAACATAAGCACCATCAAGTCATAGTTTGTAGCCAAAAAGCACATAGAGAACCAGTGAGTTTATGAGTATAAGGGAGAGAAGAACTTGACCCATGTCTGTAAACATTCACAAAAGTCTGCAGTCAAAAGTGCCGGATAGGCAGCCTATCCGCAGTACAATTATTTCATTCACAGAGAGGTGTGGGGGCAGGGAGAAAGTTACAGAACATTATTTTAGAGGCAAATTAAAATGCTTCTATGTACTTTGGAAAGATATATTCTCAGCTAGCTAAACCATACTCCAGTAAAACATAATCCACTTCCACTCCAACATAGTACGGCATCATTTCGCAGCTCTCCTGTTCAGTTTCAGACAGAGTACTCAGTTCAGCAGCAAGCCCATTACAGTATTTCAAAGCATAAGAAAACCCCCAAACCCCTCTGATCCAGCCTCCCCTTAACATACTGCTGATGCTAACAGGAGGTCCTCACACATAGGAAGAAAAGATCCAAAGAACCATGAACTGACCTTGATCTATGCGCACAAAAGAAGTGTGCGTGTAGACGAAACATTATCTACAGCTTGAAGTATCTAGTTTCAGTCTAGATCTCATTCTATATTAACCACATATACCATACAAAACATAACAGGATAGGTGCTTATACACACTATTAAGTATACTTGCTCTCCCCATTCAGTTTGACAGCCAACTGCTCTATTTACATAAACATCTGTTTGAATGTTCCTGATCCTGTAAGACAGCAAACATTCAACTCACAAACTAAAAGGAGAGTCAAGGATGCTCAGCAATTCACAGGATCAGACCCTGAATCAATTAAATGCAATCATAACTTAGGTTTGACATCTGACACAGCCTCCTGGAATCATTTTACCCTCACTTTTTCCCCTTCTTTCCCCAATTCAGACCATGCTCCCACTAACATGGAGACAGCCTTCAAAATGAATAGGATCAGGCTCTGTCAAGCAACCACTGCAGTCTTTAAAAATGTCTGGAATTTATTGCCATCCACTCTGGGGCAGACTTGTCTGCAAGGAAAACGGTGTTCCTGGTGTTGATGGATAGTTAGCAAAACCTTCAGGCTGAGCTGTATAGTTCTCCAGAGCTGAAGCAGAATGTGCCTTCAAGGAAGAGAAAAAGTTAGGAAACAGCACTGATAAAAACAAAGAAACAAACAAAAAACTTAAGCAAGCAAAATTTCAGGCACAATACCAGTCCTACTCAAGTCAAAACAAAGTATAATCTGAAGTATGCAAAGAACAGGGATGAGCAATGCACCTATACGCAGACGTTAGACTGTGCAATTATTGCTTTGAAATACCAGGGAATGAGGAAAGCAGTTGAATTATGAGGAAAAATGAAGAAGCGTTAATGGCATTTACTTTCCAGTGGAGTAAGCCACAGCTGATTTGGAAGGCACAGTTTAATCAGGAGCTGTAGTATTTCACTGACTTCTAACTTTATCTTCTGTGCTCAAGTAGGCATGTGTTAATTTTAATTAACTGGAACTTGTGAACAAGAAAACTGACATTTCCTCAATGCAACCTGTGTACATAGATTTCTGCAGAATAAATAAATTTCTGAGCTGCAAAAGCAGCATGGCCTAGATTAAGTAATTTGCTTTTTCCCATCTATTTCCCCTGATATTCAAAATATATCTGACAATATTCTGCATATTGAACAGTACTTAGACACATGCTCAATTTCAAAAAATGATGTGTCACAGAAGAGATAAAACATTAATTCAAGACACTCAACTTCCTCTTTTAGTATTTTGTAGAGAAGGACAAATGTCCTACCAGAATCCTTGAACTGTACAGAGGCCATTTTTAACAAAAGGCAAACTAAACCTCTAAATACAAACTCTGGTGACAATTTCAGTTAACTTACGTAGGTTGATGACTGAAACAAGTTGCTTCATGGACAAGAGAGGTGATGAAACTACACATTACCTAAAGCCACCTCAAGCTTATACTAGAACCATTCAATTTGTGGGAACTATCAAAGGAAAGGCACAACCACAGCAGATGCAAATTCAAGACAATCTGATTGCATGTGTAGCAAGGCACACAACTCACAACAAAGTGGTTTTCCACAGAAATCTTTAAGTATTACAACATCAGACTGGAACTGAGTACAGATTTTGCAACTACATGGTCAGTTCATTAGATTTAACACAAACCTATCAAATATTTCACTTGTATGTCCTTTTTTTTTTCTTTCACTCCTTCCCATTTTCCAAAGTGTTTTCAAGAAGTTTAATCACATTCATCATGTCAAGAAGCACTGTACATTGGCCTTGAGTAAGAAGTTAATATGAGCTGTTCTTTATCATCACCCTGGTAATCAGTTCTCAAACAGGTTAGGGGTTTTGATCATTTAATGACTCAAACTAAATCCCAAGAAGTTAACAAGCAAGTACACGCTCAAATGATTACAGGATGCAAAATGGTATTAACAAATAGGTAAGTTACCTGTAGTAGTGCTGACTGTGCAGCCGCACTATGCTGCAACTCCTGCAAGGAAGACTGTGCGGCACTTTGGGGAAAGCCAGGGATACCAGGGAGAGATAAAAGACCAGGAAAAACTGCATTTCCCGGTGTCTGTAGTCCAGAAGTCAAGCTGAAAGAATGTCAAGATGCAGCTATTATTAGGAACATCTGCATCATGTTTCATCCCATGTTTCTCTCTCTATAAGCTTATGTCTATATAAATTAGAAAAGCACCTCTTTTTCTAAACCTCATAAAGGCCAGAATTTTCAAACAAAAGCTCAGTCTCTACCCACCTACAAATTATTCATGCACACACAAACCAGGACTGTCTGGAGCACACCTAAGAAGGGAACTCAGAAATTTTTGTACCTTGGCTGTGCCTATAATTTGCACACAAAAAAACTTTACAGACAAAAGTTAATGCTGAGTACTTCCTTAAAACATAGGAACATCTAAGATATTGTCTGCTGTTACCTGGATATGTCAATGGATGCCCACGTGGAATCCATTCTTGTAAAAGCCTAGGAGGTGCCAAGTATCCTCATCTGGGAAATAAGCTCACTCAGCACCTCACTAGATTAGACTGTTGTAATGGGGACTACTGAGGACCACCTATTTAGTAACTACTCTATCAGTTTCTACAGACAGTGGAAATCTACTGGTGAACTAACTTTTTAAAATTAACTGTAATTACTAACTATGAGTGAAAATAATGTCTATGCCTAAAGTAAAAATCAGTTTTGCTCAAGAGAAAAAGAAATGGTTCTGACCTCCTTCAGAAACAGAAACATACCCAGCCTGCGCAACAAGTGCAGAGTTGAAGTTTGAGCTAAAGGCCGAGGCAAACCCTGGCAGGACCGGAGCCGGAGATGGGGCTGTGGCAGCTGCCGGCAACGGTGCAACTGCTGCTACTGCAGAAGATGCCTGGAGGCCAGGGAAAGAAGGGAGAGCAGGAGTGACAGAGGGTGTGTTAGAGACAGGAAAACCAGGGAAGGATGGGTTTGATGATCCCAGAGGTCCCTGGGCAACAGAAAAAAGGGAAGGGACAGCACTGGACAAGTTAAGCGAGAAGGGTGGAGCAGAGACTGCTGCTGAGGCGGCGAGTCCTGAGAGTACGGCGGCAGTGGAACTCACATGAGGGGCAGACACGGCTGAAGCAGCTGTAGACGGAGTAGCTAACAAAGACCCTGGGAGAGTGACGGGTGGCGTAAGTGCTGGATTACCAGTAAAAGCAAAGTTACTGGTTAGAGATGTGAAAGGAGGAAGTCCATTGAACACAGGGGCAATGGGAGCAGAGGAGCCATGTGGGGCGAGGGAAATGGAAGCCAGGGAACTGGAATTGTTTAGAGGAGCACTCAAAGAGGAGAGACCTGATAGCGCTGGGTTCAGGGAACTGGGTAAACTAACTGGTACTGAAGCTGCTGAGCTATATGCACGCCCAAGTGCTGACAGTCCTATAGTGCCATGAGAAGGGCCAGCTGAATGAGAAGGACCTTTGAAGGCTGAGAGGGTAGGACTCATGGGTTCTGTTTTGATCATAACTGGGATACTTGTGGCAGCTGGGGCTGATGACAGCTGCTGATCAGGGTTAGTAGGGCTTGTGCCATGCAAGAGGGAGGCCGATGAGCCACAGTTGACTGGCATAATAGATGGTGAAGTGGTTAAAGGTGACTGTGCAGGCAATGTTGGAGGAGTGGAACTAGAATTGGCCACAGATGGGGATGGAAGACCTGGAAAAATGGCCAGCCCAGGAGTGGAGGAACGCTGTGGGGTGGGGGTGGCTGATGGAGTATAACATTTGTTGATAGAGGAAGTGGGAGGGTCAGAGCTTTGATTAGCAAGAGCAGATAAAGAAGCAAGCTCACTTGTCATAGCAGAAGGTAAAGCAGATGAATTGATTAATGAAGTGTCATTTGATGTCAGAAATCCTTTTAAGACAGACAAAATTGGGTTAGGCAAGCTAAGTGAACCAGGAATGGCAGTGGCAGGAGAATTAGCAATTGTAGATGGAACAGGACTAGAAATCCCTTGGGCATTGGGAGGTAAGGACAAAGGGAGGCCAGCAAAAACTGATGACAATGGAGTGGGATTATTAGCAGAAGCAATTGAAGAGGCTGCAGAGAACGGGAGGCCAGCAAATGGTGCAGTAGCAGATGTGAAAGCTTCACTAGGTGCAGGTGTGGCACATGGTGTGGAAGAACCTTGCGGAGCTGGAGTAGCAGAGGCCAGCCCAGAAAAAACTGCAGGGATAGGGGTAGAGGTTGCACTGTGAACAGATGTGACAGGAACACCAGGCAATGAAAGGGATTTGATGACAGTAGGGGTTGGGGTGGATGGCTGAGATGTATGGCTGGAAGAGGAGACCTGTCCTGGGAAAACAGGAAGGACAGGGGTAGACACGTTCATCCCAGAGATGAGTGGAGTGGCAGGTGCTAATGGATGGCTTATTGCCTTGACAGGTGATGGGGTAGGGACTGGAGTAGCAGCAGGTGTTGAAGGATTAGAACCATGAGGAGTAAAGAGCTGATTCGCTTGTGCAGAAAAAGCTGCAAAGAAACAAAACTGGTAAGAATACTTGAAACTGTCAGAAATGTTTGAAATCAACACAAACACATTTTACAGAGCATTTCAAAATGAGATACACAGGCAATAGCTAACATACAATGTTTGTATATAAACAATGAACACTGGAGCCTATGAAAACAAAATGAAAAGGTACGCACAAACACATCACACAAGTTGTACATCATGGAGGCTACCATTCCTCTTTAGAACACTTTGTGACATCTGCTATTTTTTCATACTCTCATGCAAGACAGTTAGACACTCAAATATACTCCGTAAGAATGTCTAAGTGATACAGGTAAACACCCTCCCTCTGGTCTCTAACATCGGACAGTACCCAAACCAGATCTAATATTCCATGGGCATCAGATCACCTGGTCTCCTCTGCATCCACTCTCACTGAAGGTCAGAATTTCCTTCAGAACCAGTTAATTCAATGTATCATGATTTCAGAGAAGTTTAGTCAACAGCTGAAGAAAGCTGATTTCAGGTGCTGGTATTTTTCTTTCCTTCAAAATCAGGTCATTCTCTTCACTGTGTTTCCTTCAGATTTTGATTCTAAGAAGGTACACTTTTAAATTCATGTATCACACTACAGTATTAAACTAACATTGGCACTTGACTTTACCAACAGATATTTCTATAGGTGTCTATAATCAAGGCAAGCACCTGCCACTATATCAGCTTACATGTCAAAGAGACATCAGTCAAGCTGGAGGAAAACAGGTAGGCACAGTGTGAATGGGGATGTGGAGGTTAATGGGAAGAACTTGCATTTATTAACACTGGCATGTCAAGAGCCTTGATACACCTCTATCTAGTTTCCTGTGGAATATGAATGTGTTAATAATTCCTCTAAAACAACACTCGTGCTTTATTTTACTTTTAAAATAATCTGTTCAACTCTAAGCAAATCACTGATCCAACAGTCAAACTCATCACCCATAACTCTGTAACAGCTTAGATTGCTCTCTTGCCCAAATTCTACATATACACACATAAACTCAGAAATAGAATCTTTAAAATCTTGGACCTAAGTTGATATGTCAAACTCCTGTTTTATGTCTCTTGAAACTCTAAAACTAGCAAGTTTGCAAACACACTATTTCCTTTTACATACTGTTTTCCAAAAACCTAGACCCAGATTGCTTGTCTCTGGATTCAGTTCTTTCCTCATGCTGTTTCCAAGCTAAAGATCACAGTTGTTAATGCTGACAGCCCAGATAATCACCAGAGAAACAGCTGCAAGAGAACCCAGAGCTTTTACTGAATTTCTCCTCCTAAGAGATTTTAGTCCTTACACTGTATTCCTTTAGCTGCATAAACTACCTTGGGGTTTTTTTCTTTAGAAATACGTACAGGACCTAAACTTATCATGGTAATTTTATCTGTTTTGGGTTTTTATTTGTTAATATGCCTGACTCAGTAGTCAGTAGACTCTCAGTTTCTATTTGTCAAACCTAACAAACTACTATCAAAGCCTTTGTATAAGTAGCTCATAATGGGATTTATTATTATGATTTGTACTAAGTGTACAAAGCATACAAAGTACCACAGAAATAGAGAACACAAAAATAACAACACAACTCTCTTCTGCAAAAAGAATTGGATTTTAAAGGGTAAGACAAAAGTGCAGGTACACATAGTTGGATGCAACAGTCTCGGATAAGACATTCTACACCTAGATTTCAACAAACTACAAATAAAGAATCTGTCTCTCTTGTATTCCTAGCTTCCCATTGCAACTAATATATGAAATTAAAATGTGAATGAGTTTTCAAATAGATGTCCAGTTTTAACAACTGCAAAAATTTTATTGAAGTGCTTCAGAGTACTACATTGCAAAGTGTATTTTAATTTATATTTTTTACATTATTTCTCACATACTTATGCGCTGAAGAATATAAAACTTTAATGACCTAATAAAAAAGGTCGAATTTTAATGTTTCAATGCTACTAAGTGCCAAATGCCTGAGATATTTTTTTCTTAACTTTCAAGGGATCCTATTCGAACACTGAATACTTAAAGCTTTACAAAAAATCCCACTAAACAAGTAAGTTGTTTACATCTTCTGAACAAATAACAAAGATACAATCAACACAAAAATTCCCCTGCGGATTTGCAATTTACCTTGATTTTGAGAAGGTTTTGCCTGGCTGGAAAGGTCCTCATTTTCTAAACAGAGACAAGTGATTGTTATTTAAAAGCAAATGGAACTCCAGCAGTGAATGATCCATTCACAACAATGAATTAGAAAAAATACCATCAGCATTTTTAAAGGTATGCATGCTTTACCTGATACTACTTGATTAGTAGTGTATGGCTGTGGAGCTGCTAAGCCTGGAGCTATGACATTAGCCATTGGAACTAAGCCAGCATTGTTGTAAGCACCTAAAAGAACAAATGCAATAAAGATCTCAGTTGTCAGAAGAACCCATATCTAAATGACATCCTTTAAAATAAGGTTTTCAAGATTTTATGACATTCCTTCACCAGTTAAAATCATCGAGGCTGGATAACTTTTGCCAATGTCTGCCTTGTGATCCTAATTTTAGTAAGGTCAGTTCTCTTGAAAGAGCCTAAAAAAGTCAGGTTTCAATTGGTTTCAGATCCATTTTGCCTGAAAAACTCAAAGAGGAAGAATGATTCGGAGCATCTGCAGCATCATTTGTTCTTTTACTATTCCTAACTTAAAAGCTGTTGCAGCTCTTCCTTTAACTTTAAAGCCTTGACAAACAGAAGAGCCAAACATACACCAGTGACCATGACCAGCCCTCCAGCACTAGTCATAAAATTCAGAGAAAAACATCCCATCTCAAACACTTAGTCTAACATTCTTCAATAGTTCTTTAAGTGTTAAGAAATTCAAGTGGGTTAGCAAATTATTTTAATTCAAAATACTTACTACACTTGACATATTAAAAACTACCTTTTTACCTCCCTTATTCTTTGGAGTAACTCAAATTGTTATACTGCTGTGGTACACATTTCTGATGAAGAACATCAGAATTTAAATCACAGGAACATAAATACACTTCACAGTGGTCTTGAATGAACACTTTAAAGAGCATAAGAACTCACAGTTCATGGGAAAAGGTAGCACCTGAACAATACTCAAAGTGCAGCAATTTCTCATACCCAACTCCTTTCTGATTTCATACTTTCATAACAGTTATACCTAATGTTAAGATTTCTTGCATGACAACTCTTGGCTAAATATCAGGAAAGTAACTAAATCATAGTGTCACCCAGAAAGGAAATGTTAAACCAATACATAAGAGGCAGAAAATAAAACATCATTCTGACCATTGCTTGAAAAGATCACATTCAGTAGTTTCAGGTCAGCATCTGCAATCTCATTAAACACAGTTTTTATATATAGAAATATATAATCAGCTATGAGTTCCATTCTCACAAGTTTTTAAAAAAAACCATGTTTTTAGCAGCCTAATAAGATCCTGAAACCTCAAAAGCTGTTTCATATCCTAAAATGTACTAATGCTTACATCCAGTCACAGGCCAAATTTTGTGCCCTGACTTTCTTTGGATAGGATTTATTTAATATAAATTTGAGCTAGTCTGCAAGTTTCCTGTATGCTTTCTAGGGCACAAATCATCAGACTTACTTTAGCCACTAGTAGTGGCCATTTTTCTGAACTGACTATAAAGAAACTTGCAGACATCAAGTTGGTCATATGACTCACTCTTCAACATGCATGCTCAGCTCTACTTTCTTATCAAATACCTTAAAAACTCCCTAAAACCCCCAACATCAGTGAAAAGCATCCTTCCTAACCAGAGCACTCCTTGTTTTGCAGTACAGGATTGCAGGATAAGGAAAAGCTTTCAGCCGCTGCTCAAAAAGACCACAGTCTGATTACATTAGTACTCCAACCTCTTCTTCCAAAGAATTGGCAATTTCCTTGGTCCCTTACAAAAATGTTTGGAATCAAACAACTGATGCAGCAGAGCAAAAAGAGAGGAGTTTATGAAAGAAGACTCAATCTTACCTAAGGTACAAGGCTAAGAATAGTCAGCCCAAACACAGGAAAAGGCAAACATTATGTCCCTTCTGAGACTGCAATCTACACGCCTAAACTTCTCTTTTAGGAATTTGTTTCCCATTCTGATGGAGAGAAAGCAAAGCTGAAGGCAACTGAGAAACAGATCACCCCTTCAACTGAGAAACAGATTACTGTCCTTCAGCAAGTTCCTACATACTTCCACCCAATTCAGGGCTGTGCCTGACCATATTCTAAGTTTGGTACAGCAGCAACAAGTCAACAGACTTTCAAGCCAAAGCCCAAACCTTGGTCAAGCATTACAACAAAGATATAGCCCTTGTCTAACACACACAATACCTCCCAGAAATGCCTCCCATAAATGAAACAGTTTGTCACCAGAACAGGACTGCGAATTTTCCTTATGATGTGGATGTTGGAAAAAGAAGTCAACATATTCTTCTTTTCATCCACTCTGAAGTCATGACAGGAAGAGATAGAAACCAGTACCTAGAGCATGCTTAGGGAGTGCAAGCTAAGTTCAGATATGATTGTGGTCAGAGAAACTGACACTTGACACTTATTACTTGAAAGGCAAATGGATGACACAATAGCATCAAGCTAAAACACATAGAAGCCTTACTTGGTGCAATAGTTGCATGTGGCCGACATGGTGGGATGGGGTATGGAACTGGTTTGTGTGGATTGTAGGTTGATGGAGCCTACATAAACAAAAAACAAACGGAAGAAGCAATAGTGAAAGCATTACCTAATGTTTCTCAGACAAAAAGCTAACATTCAGATACTACTATAGACAGCTGTTCTTCAATGAAAAAATATTTGATAGGAAATTTTCTTCATAATATCCCTAGTGACTGAAAATATTTCACTCTTTCAGAAAAGAATGAAACAAACATCACTAGCAGATTATTAGATTTTAATATAATACTAAACACAGGTGGGAAAGGGAACTCCTTCCTGCCTTGTAGTCTTCACACTGCAGTCCTGGACTAACTTCTCATTTTAAGAATTAGCACAGTTAAAACTAACAAATACCTGTGAAGTTATCTGTCCCTTTAAAATAGTACAGCTTAGTGGGAAATATCTCATAATCAATGTGAAAATAAAACATTTGGACAATACTTCAAAGTAGCATCAGTTTTATTGAAAGTCTGTCCCACATGCTTAAAAATTTTTAAATACAGATCAGCTGTGTTGTTAAGAAACTAGCACTGCTGTAATTCAAGTTTCCAAGATGCAGGCATTTTTTTATGTTCATGTGGGAAAGCTTCAGAGTTATTAATAAAAAATTGCATATCTAAAACTTCCACTAGGTCATGATGAACTACTAAAAATGCTTTTTTTTTGTCCTCTGCTACTGTAAATTAAATTTTGCTTTCAAATGCACACATACTGTATCCACTGGAGAATCCTATCCCCCACAGATATAAACCACAGCTTCTTTTCAAGTTAAACAAAAATACTAGGTCATATTATCTTTATTAGTTTAGCTTTGTTTAAATTGCTGCTCTACGGTGTTCCTGCAACATAGCAGCATTTTATATAAAACTGGATTGGCTGGTGGTTGGATTTTTTTTTTTTTTCTTAAAGTTTCATTTATTTATTAGACATACTGGTTTGGATGGTCCAAGGATACGGGCTGCTATTCCCTTTCCTTCATTAGTACATTCTTCTGTGTCCTTTTTGATAGGAGTTCCCTGAAAGAAAATAAAATTAAGCTACTAAGTATTAATTTAAAAGTAAATCTTGCTGTAGAATTTCTGCCATATTTGATTTTTTTTCTAAACTTCATTTGAGTTTTTGAATATTCTGAAAGTGATACTTAACCATGTCTGTTAGGAAAAAGAAATTGTGTTGTAGGCTTGTAAAATCTTAAGTAAGAGCATTCCAATAGCTTGGTTTATAACACTGAGCCTTTGTAGAGAGATGCATATTAAACAGTCCGTGTTTCTGACATAATTACAATTGTGTATTTTGATTTGTGGACATGATAACTTAGGTGTTCCTTAAGTGTTCACAGGAAATACTTAACATGGTTGTTCAAGAACTACACTAAGATTAGCAGTAGTACTGCAGTGACCGTATTAGGTCACCTAACCAACCTACTAATAAGGTTCTTTACACCTCTCCCAATTCTGCCAAATATTGATGGAGTTTACAATGTTTTTCTTATATGATCAATGTTTTACTTATGTGGTAATCTTCACTTGGAGTAGCACAGAAAGAATAGGCAAGTAAAAATAATGCAAGTTTCCTATAAATGTGTAATTTTAAAAAATACCATTGCTTTTGATTCCACTCTTCCTTCCATGTATATGAATACTGGGTTTGGTTATACTATAATGAATCCTAAATCAAGGATGCTATGAAAAGCAAAAGCATAGGATCATTCTTACTGGGAAAATTCCATTTATGCGGCTTGGTTTGCCTTTGGGATAAGGGTTGCCAGGAATCATGCCACAGGATGATATCATAGCATGAGGAGCCTTACAACCTGTTTTTGAAGCCTGCAAAATAACCAAGAAATTATATTATAGGCTATTAAATTCAAGACTTGACAGACATTAATTACTATTTCATGACATTTAGACTGCATGAATCAACCTACATGGAACAATTCAAAGCTTTGTCTCAAATCTTCTTCCCAAATAGTCCAAAGAGTGTGAGGTTCTGCCACAGTCTCCTTTGTTTTGGATAACTCTCCTCTGACCACCACTGTTTCTACCACACTTGGGGTTAAGCACTTGGTAATTAAAACAAATGCAGAATGTTTCCCTCAGCACTGGTTGCAATTCTGTGCCCCTTTTCCCCTATGATGCTGATGCGTGACAGGAACTTCCCCCTTTTCACACATGTATTACATGGCTCTTATCTTTCTGCAGCTGGCTATTTCAGCTTGTCTTCCACTAGTAGTTCCCAACAGTCCTTATGGTCCCCACAATGCCCACAAAGATGGAGACAATACTGTATTTAACAGAAACAAAGATACTAGAGTATCCTGACTACCTGTTCAAGAATTCTTCTGCATCTTTTCTTCTCTGACATATTAATTCTGAACAGATCTTCAATAAGACGATAATTCTGAGCATCAACGATGTTGCTATAAAGATATTGACAGATAATTACTGTCATTCCATACGCTTATAAGAAATAATGCACTACTGAAAAGTGATCAACACTTATTCAGCCAGTACCCAACAGTACATTAAAAAATATAATTAGTTCAGATCATAATACTACTATTATTATTAAAGTAAAAACCCCAGGCTTGAATATGTACTTCATACCTGTAAGTGAAACACAGTATTAGAATTAAATATCAATATGGAATAATGGACAATGACAACAAAACTTTATCCAAGGCAGACATACTTAATCTAGAAAAAAACCCAATCTAAAACAGAACAACACTTCATATAATAAATCCCCTAAACCAGGTAGAAGAGTTCCAATGTAAACATTTGCAAAAGGCAAAGCTGAGGCAGCTGTGTTCAGTAAAAAAACCCAACTTTCTATGTAAACATGCATTTAGAATATCTATAAATCTTTTATAGACATTAGATCTGTAAATCAAATGTGACAATTTAAGACATGTGTTTACTTGACTCATTTTTGCATATGTAATATTTAGAGGGTTTTTCAAATGCAAAAGGATCAATTCCCAGAATACTCTGGTCTCAAGCCTTTTACATTTCAGTGAGCAGAAATAAGCTTAAACCCTTCTTCATTCTCTACAAAATTCGAAGATCACTGTAAAAATACTGGCAGAGTGGCAGTTTTCCAGCAGGTAGAAGCCCACATAGCAGCATGCTCAAGACTCAGATGAACTATGGAAATTCACATGATGTCTACTTTTAACTCTTCTTTTTACAGCCCCATCAATAATGGATTTGTGCTTTACCTGAACTGGACACAGTGCTTCCCTCTAGAGTTATCTTAAGATTTATGTACTCAAACACTAGTAAAAATAATACAACTTAAGGAAATACAACATGAGAGATACTTACGAAGCTAAGATTTCAAGGGCAATAAGTTTATCTTTACTGAATGTGAAGCAGTTGAGAATATTAACCATTTTTGATGCTGGAACTGCCACTATTTTCTGACAAGTAAGCAAGAAAGAAAAAAGTATATATAAAGTAAGACAGTACAATTATTTTAAACTCAGAATGCTACTCAGTAACAGCTTTACATGACATATTTCAGTAAATGTTTAATATTCTCTCCCTCCCACTGGGAAGGAGAATCTATGCGCTAAATGCTGAACAAGGAATTGCAAAAAGCACTTGCCAAAAGCAGAGAAATTAGCAAAGTTAACAATAGTTAAAAAGGAATGTATCTTTTCTTGTGATACACAGGAAAGTAAAAGATACTTTAGTCAAAAAGGATAGTCAGGTTAGAAGTAAGACATTTCATATTTTGATACCATTGAAAATGAAAGAGATGAAAAAGAAACCTTGAAGATTAAAGGGTAGACTGACCCAACAGCTGCAAAAGTAGACATCACAAAACCAAAATGAGATTAAGAGGGCAAACTTCCTCCACAAGATTAAGCCACAAGAACTTACATGTTGTAAAGCCTTTATTGCCTTGAGCTGTGGTTCAGCCCAGGAAAAGTATCTCAGTAACTCAACAACCTGCAACAGAAAGGCCTTCAATTACTCTTTTATATATATTAAAAATTACGCTATTAGTATCAATACTATCTTTCCACTTTTGGAGCACAGTAGTACACTGCTAAAAAACACGTGTCTGTCTGATGTTTGAATACATCAGTGCCTACCAGCATCTACCACTCTTTCTTTTTTCTAAGTAGGCTTCTAAAAATTCTACGTTATGAGATCAAGTTTTTCTACAGAAATATTTGAAATAGATACTTAGTCTCTATATTTGCATATATGCACAACAATTGCCACAGTATTAGAATAAAAAAAAAATTAAGTCTTTCTGAAAAAGCTTATAAACATTCAGTATCTCAAACAACATGTTCACCAAACATATACCAAAAAAAACCCAACAAAAAACCCAACAACATAAGAAAAAGAAACAAGAAAAACAAGCTACATAATACCAAAACAAGCTGGGTATTTATTACTACATGCCAGTTTAGAAAATACATGCAAAATAATCCTAAATTCCATGATGATCAATTTCTCCAATTTTCCCCACACAACAGGAATGAAGATGTAATGATTTTGATAACAAAGTAACTCTGAACTATTTTTAACAGATTAATGCTGATGTCATAATGAGGACTTAAATCCCTTTGGTTAATAAATAAAAAAGCTAATATGATCAGCCTCAGTATGACTGGAGACATCATCTTTCTGTGTTACTGAACACACAAAACCAAGAGCTCCCATTAAACCCATGACAGTGTTGACTTTTACCTGTTCGCTAGAAAAGTATCCATGAACATATTCAATAGCTTTTAATTTGTACTCAGTCAGTACAGCCTAAAAGATACAGAAAAAAATGCATAATTAGCCCCTCAAAAATTATAATTATAGCACAATCACCTGCTAGACTAATCTATTAATCTAAAAAAAATCTGACCTTAGAAAGTGACATTTGCATCAATTACACTGCAATATTTCTAAGTAACAATATCATAGAATCATAGAATGGTTTGGGTTGGAAGGGACCTTAAAGATCATCTAGTTCCAACCCCCCTGCCATCACCAGGGACACCTTCCACTAGAGCAGGTTGCTCAAAGCCTCATCCAGCCTGGCCTTGAACACTTCCAATATACTCCTTAGATAACTGAGAGAGCAATGAAAAGCAGAGATGTAATTTAATTCCTGTCTTAGAACAAATTACTCATTTTTTATTTACTTAATTTTGCTTTTTTTTTTTGTTTAAAACTGTACTGAGAGAACATCAGCATAACTCTTCCTTTTGTCTCGAAGGTTTACATCAACTTTACGTTACACAAGATAATATAGTTGATTATTCATACAACCTCTTTGCACGTTCCTTGTAAAATAATTAGCAAAGCATCTCACTTCAGTGAATTTATGAAGAGATTGGCTAACAAGTCTGTACAGAGACAATAAAGAATAGAAGAAAGCTTGCTCCAGAGGGTGATGTTCTCTTACTATTACCTTCCCACAGTTCAAACCTTACTGTGCAATCACACAAAACAAAGGAAGCAGAGTAGTTTAATGCAGCCCCGGCCCCCACTTTTGACTTTGTGGCAAGATAGTTTTGCTGATAACCGTATGGGCCATCTAAGAGCCAGGGCTTCCTCCCTCTCCTCATACCCAGCTCACTGACAGGCGTACAAGATGTGAAGGTGACAAGAGACAGCTGAGTTCCTGCCCCAAACTGGTGCAAACACCTTTCTTCCCCAGTTTCCAAGGCACTCATCTGTTCCTGGCTCTCATGCTTATTCTCAAATCATCTTCAGCTTCACCCAATCACACATTTCTATCTTCTTCCCAATAGCTCTAAAACCCACCCCTATTCCTTCTATTTTTGTCCCTGTCCCTCCACACAGAGAGATGTGAAGTTCTCCATCACTGCAACACCTTCACATACTGTTCCAGGCAAACCCCTTCCTTTCTGTACCTCATTAAGAGACAAACACTACCAGACACGCTGAAGTCACAGGGGAAAAAGCACCTCTCTCCATGTTCATCTTCTCTTCTCTCCCTTCCTTCTCTTCACATATTTTGGGAAAAAGCCTGGTATGTCATACAGCAACTTCTTTACCAAAACAAACATCACTCTTCCTCCTTAAATTAACAACTGGATGACTTTATAATAATAATAACACAAACAGAAAGCACTGCTATGTGTATTTATGAAAAAAGCTCCCACTTTCTTTTGTTAATAATCATAAAGATAATGGGGAAATACAGAACTGAGCTACACATTAAGATATTTAAATAATTACTTTTGCTAATTGTAGGACTGAAAAACAGAACCCACCAAAGCAATTGACTCGTGAATCACATAATAAAGAAGGTTCTACCACAGAGCTAGAAATGAAGTTTAAACAAAAACCTGCCAACAAAGATACAAAAAAAGCATTTGGAACATGAACATACACTGCAACAGCACAGCTATTATTCACACAGCACAGCACTGATCCTTAGATTAACAGTAAGTTAGGTTTACAGGAATACAGGCAGATAGCATGTGGGAAACATAACTGTCTAAAGTCACATGGCAAAAGCCCTTTGTTTGAAGTCTTTAGTAATATATGCTGAAGGGCTGAAGGGCCGCACTGCAGTAGTAATATTTGAAACATCACCCCCTCCCACCATCAATTCTCAGAGAAAGTATTCCTGTGTAAGCTGCTCCTTGATTTTTTGCACCAGATTTTCCATAAGAATTATCAGGTTGGGAGGGAAGTCCACACCCTGAAATACCTTAGACTGTCACTTTTTTATCTGGTTACACAGCATGGACCAGACCCGTTTTATAATGGAGAATTTATGACCATGACCTCATGCAAAAATGCCAGTGAGTGCAGTTGTGGTAACAGAGCCATCACCGGGGCTTTTGTGCACAGTGGTTTATACCTAAACACATTCCAAAACAGTAATGCTACAACTGCAGCCATCACTGCATCTCACCATGAAGAGATGCTAAACTGAAACTCAACTCTGTAGCACCCAAGTCCAAATAAAGGAAATGACCTCTCCTAGACAACCCACTGTAACAAAAACACCCATTACAAAACCACTAAGGATTCCTTTTCTGCCATAAGGCAATCCTATCCAAAGCAAGCCCTTCATTTTCACCTCAGGACAGCTTCAGCAAAAAAAACTGCTCTAGCGTGACACTGAAATCACCTCTGCTTAACTACAGCAAAATACGTCATCCCAGGTTTGGACTTCCCACGCAAGGCAGGAATCACACTGCCATTAGTCTCAGAGGTTCTGAAGGATCCAGAAACATCTGCTGTCTCTTTTTCCACTTCCAGCATTTGAGGAAGTAACAAACACTAATCTCTGGCTTTCCTGTTAAAAGCAGACCTCCCTGCAGAAAGAGACAAGAGCACCTGCTGGACACTGGGATGCCCAGGTTTGTATCTCTGCTTCCCACAACTAGGCAGCATTTTGCTCGGTGAATTTTTAACAGGAGATGCCCAGGCACCGTTCAGAGCTCGCATCAAAGCCCTGGATTTCACATCCTGGAGGAAGGTGGGCACGTGCTCCCCAGCTGTGTGTGGGAGATGTGGCCTTGAACAAGGACAGCAGAGTGCAGCTTCAAAATCAGCCCCTCTCATGTCATATTTATCTGCTGTATCTCCTAAACCACCACATAAACGGTGGATATCTCACACTGTAAGCCCCCATGTCCGGTCAGGCCAAGCAAACGCAGCCCCTCCCCCCACATAAGAGATACATGGCTACTTCGGCTTTTCTTCCTCATCTTTCTTGACAGTGAAAATGCAGTGATAAACTTATTCAAATGCTTATTTCAAATGCGTACTCTTCAAGCTCACATTGTTAGCTCACCGGTAGCAGTCTGGATATTTAATCTCAACCTTCTGAGAAAATAAAACATCTCAAAGAGAGCAAGCATGTCACAGCAGCTTTACACCTGACAAACAAAAACCATGACACATCAGCAACACAGGATTACAGTTTTCCACACTGAGGTGAAATGTGGTCTTTATTGAATCCTGAAGTGATTATTAAATACAAACACCTAACACGGTGTGTTCATTAAGAGGAATACTCCACCATCAAATGGTTAAACTAACATGCAAAACGAGAAGTTACCTTTCTAATTTCATCCAGTACGGTTTCAAATGATTTCTTATCCATCTTTATTAGTTCATTCAGTTCAGATACTTAAAAAAAAAATAAAAAATATCCAGGCCAAAGATTTCACACAGGGGAAAAAAAACCAAACCAAACCAAAAAGC